AGGTGTTGTATGGGAGCCAGGACCAGCATAACACACCATTACACAACGTAAAAGGGATCATTACACACCATAAAAGGGTGCAGAGTAGATTCACACAGATGATATCGGAGATGATTCCCAGGTTACAAGTGGTTACTGTGGTTAGCATGCTCACCTCGCAAATGAGAGGACCTGGATTCGATTCCCAGGTGGGGCGAAACCTTAGGCAAAGTTTCCTTACTCCACATGCTTCTGTTTATTAATAATAATAATCCTTGCATTTGATATAGTGTCTCATCACGACGTTGAGACGTCTTGAAGCGCTACACAGAATATACTTTAAAGTGTATTAGCTGTGTATTCTGTGGATTAAAAAAAAGTTTACTTAGTAGTAAGTAGGAACCCGGTTGTGAGTCGATTGGCAGATTGCTTTCCGGAGGCAATCATTCCTCAAAAAACAACAACTTGGATTCATATAGTGCCCTCCACTCTGGACGATGTCTCAGAGCGCTTCACAGTAACGGATCCTGGGCCGAGCCAGGGGGAAGGCATGGACCAGGGTTTCAGCGGCTTTTGGGGAGAGATATTGGCAGAGACGGGCGATGCGTTGGAGGTGGAAGAAAATGGTACTGGTGAGGGACCGGATGTGGGGGAGGAAGGACGATTGGGGGTCGAACCTGACGCCTAGGTTGTGTACGGAGAGTTTTAGGGGGAGTTCGGGTAGGTGGAAGAGGTGAGATTTCAGACATTGATGAGAGCCAAAGAGTATGGCTTCCGTCTTGTCAACATTTAGCTGAAGGAAATTTGCGCTCATTCAGCCCCTGAGGTCTGACAGGCAGCTGACAGAACATCAGGGGACTGGGGGTCGCAATGTGAGGTGGAAAAATAGAGTTGAATGTCGTCCGCATACATGTGGAAGTGTACCCTATGTCTGCGGATGACATCCCCAAGAAGGAGCACATAGATCAGAAAGAGGAGGGGGCCAAGGATGAATCTTTGGGGTATCCCGCAGGTAACCAGGGGAGCGGGAGGAGAAGCCGTTTGTGCAGATGTATTGCTGGCAGTTTGTGAGGTAGGGCTTGAACCAGGCGAGTGCAGTCCCACTGAGATGGATGACGGAGGAAACGCGGTGAAGGAAGATGGAGTGATCGACTGTGTCAAACGCAGCGGAGAGATCCAGGAGGGCAAGGAGGCAGAGGGACCCTGGTCACAGATAGAGAGGATGTCATCTGTGACTTTCACAAGTGCGGTCTCTGTACTGTGGGCGGAAGCCGGACTGGAGGGGTTCGAAGTGGGAGGAGAGTTGTGCGCGGAGTTGATTTGCAACAACGTGTTCTAGGACTTCTGCGAGGAAGGTTTGAAATAGGGCGGTAGTGGCTGGAGTTTGAGGGATCTAGGGAGGGTTTTTTGAGAAGGGGGTGATGACAGCAGTTTTGAGGGGGGCAGAGACTGATCCGGAGGAGAGGGACTGGTTGATGACGTCAGCCAGTAGTGGGCAGAGGAGGGGGAGCTGGGTGACCAGCAGGTTGGTGGGGTGGTGATCGAGGCAGCAGGGGGTGGGTTTCATGGAGGTGATGGAGGGTGAGAGGGAGGAGGGAGAGATGGGGAGGAAGGAATGTAGAATGGGGGTGGTGGTAGGAGTAGATGATGGGGAGGGTGAGAGGGACAGAGAGGGTGGTGGGTGACAAGAGGCAGGCGGATAAGGCTGCCTGGCGGATGTTGTGGATTTTGGATGAAAGTCCATGACTTCCTCGCACTTGGCGTTGGATGTGAAGATTGAGGAGGCCTGAGGGGGGGCACGGAGGAGATAGTGGGTGGTGGAAAACTCTATTTTTGAAGCTCTCTGAGATGCCATCCGGCGTGGAGGGCGCTATATAAATTCAAGTTGTTGTTGAAAAAAGGATTTTAGGATTGTTTTTAGCCTCCAAGATGATGTTGGGAGTAGAAGGCTGTTTTTGCGCATGTCAAAGAATGGCGGTAGCTGTAGAGATGTTGAGCCACAGTTGGCGGTGAACTGTCAGGCCAGTTTTCCACCATCTGCGCTCGAGCAGCCGGGTTTGGCAGTTGAGATGATTGTTGTACCAGGGGGATCGGGTGGTTTTGGAGATGGTCCTGGATTTCAGGGGAACGAGGGAGTTGAAGGTGGAGGAGAGGCGATCACGGAGCAGCTGGACGGCTGCTTCAGGATCTCTGCGGGCGGAAGGCCAGAGGGATAGGATATTTGATGATGTGAGGGCCTTTGTGAGGGTCTCAGGGGGCAGCCTTTTCCATGGGCGGTAGAGAATGGTAGATGGCTTGGTGGAGGAAAGAGGAATGTAAGAAGAGAAGGAGATGAAGTCCGAGATGGCCTTGTCCACGATGCTAAGGTCGGAAATGACAAAAGCATGTGGTCACTCAATCCACGACTGTTTGACCGGCTATCAACCTGTCTGCTCACTATGTTCAGCAGGCCCCGGCCTGCTCCAGGTGTCTTGCCTGATCCGCCCTACCATTGGCAGCAGGGTTTTTAGCCTCTCTGCCCCCACCCTTTGGAACGCCATTCCACAATCCCTTTGCCTTGCTCCCTCTCTTGCCTCCTTCAAGGCACGACTCAAAACCCTCCTTTTCGACCGTGCCTTCAGCCGCCCTCCTACCTCTCTACCCTCCCTCATCCCAACCCTGCCCCCACATGCCCAGGTCCTGATCCCCGACAGTTCAGCGTCTTGGGACGTCCTCTTAACGTGAAAGGCGTTTTACAAATGTAATTTTGTAGTTGTTTATGGGACACTGCTGTGCGCAATTGGTTGCTGTGTTTTGCCCACAAAATATACAGTCAATCCACTTTACGGTATGCTCTGTGAAACGATTTGAGTACGTCCTAAAGTGAAAGGTGCTGTACGAATGTAAATTGCTGTTACTCTAAAGTCATCCTGGAGGCAAACAACAATCCAAAGGTTCTGTTTTCCACCATCCATCACCTCCTCCATGCACTCCCTCAAGCCCCCTCTATCCTCACGTCAAATGCAAAGAGGTCCTAGACTTATTCGCCTCAAAAATTGAAAACATCCGCTTGGCTGCATCATCCTCCCCACCCGCCCATGTCCCCTTCCATCCCACCCAGACCATCCGCAACCCAGACCTTCTCCCTCCGCCACGGCTCCTGCCATTCGCCCTCCTTACATTCCTTTGCCCCAATTTCTCTCTCCCTCTCAACCACAATCGCCCGGATGAAGTTCATCACCTGCTACCTTGATCCCCTCCCCACTCAGCTGCTGATCACTCAACTCCCCCTTCTCTCCCCCGCTGGCCAACACGATCAAGCAGTCTCTCCCCTCAGGCTCTATTCCACTCCCCCTGAAAACCGCTGTCATCACACACCTCCTCAAAAAACCCACCCTCGATCCCTCTATCTCTCACACTACCATCCCATCTCCAACCTATCCTTCCTTGCCAAAGTCCTGAAATGCACGGTTGCAGGTCAACGTCGGTCACACCTTTCCCTTCACTCCCTCCTCGAGCCCCTGCAGTCTGGTTTTCACCCTGACTGCCCACAGCACAGAGACAGCGCTTGTCAAAGTCACAAACAATGTCCTCTCTACCAGTGATCAGGGCTTCCTCTACCTCCTCGTCCTCCTGGATCTCTCTGCTGTGTTCGACACAGTCGACCACGCCATCCTCCTCCATCGGCTCTCCTCCCTCATCCACCTTAGTGGGACCGCACTTACATGGTTTGAGTCCTACTTAACCAACTGCCTCCATTTCATTTCAGAAAATGGTTTCTCCTCCCTCTCCTGCCCGATCACCTGCGGGATACCCCAGGGCTTCATCCTTGGCCTCTTCTTTTCCTTATCTATTTACTCCCTCTGAGCGATGTCATCCACAGACACGGGGTAAACTTCTGCATGTATGTGGATGACACACAAATCTACTTTGTCTCCTCCAGCACCAACTCCAGGTCCGCAATGTTCTATCAGCTCGTCTGGCAGACATTAAGGCCTGGTTGAGTGTAAACTTCATGCAGCTGAATATGGACAGGATGGAAGCCATACTCCTTGGCTCCCGTCAACGTCTTCACTCTTGCGGATCTGAACTCCTCTGACTCACTGAACCAGTGAACAACCTTGGCGTTCGGTTCGACCCCCACCTGTCCTTCCTCACCCACATTCGGTCCCTGACCAGGACTGCCTTCTTACACCACCACCACCACATTGTCCGCCTCCGACCCTACCTTACCCCAAATGCAGCTGAAACCCTCGTGCATGTGTTTGTCACCTCCTGCTTGGATTACTCCAACGCACTCCTCGCTGGTCTCCCCAGCTCTACCATTCACAAGATCAGCTCATTCAGAACTCTGCCGCCGCATACTGACCAAACTCCGTCTCCACATCTCATCAGTTCTGGCCCCGGCTCCACTGTCTCCCCATCACCGAACCGATCGACATCAAGATCCTCTCACTTGTGTCCAATCCCTTCACTGTCTGGCACCTCCCTCCCTCTCCAACCCCCTCACTCCCCACCCAGTGCCTCCGCTCGACTGGCACCGGCTCCTGCTCATCACTCGCACCCTCTGCCCCACCATCGGAGGTCGTGCTTTCAGTCACTACACCCCAAAACTCTGGAACACTCTCCCTCAATCCCTCCGCCTTGCCCCCTCTCTTTTCTCTTTCAAGTTCCGCCTGAAAACGTGTCTGTTCGACTGTGCTTACAGCTATCTCCCCCTCCCTCCAGCTCGGAGTCAGGCTCCGCCATTGTTAAGCGCTCTGAGATGCTACCCTGCATGGAGTGCACTATATAAGTGCAAGTTGTTGTTGTTAGTACTACACTGTGTGATCTATAATTCACATCAATGTCTTTTTTTGGTCAGCCGGGTGTCTGACATATGCGGAAACCCATCACTGTGCTTAAGAGTCTCCAATCCAAGCTGAGAATTCCATCAGTGTCTGTCCTATGTCAGTGCTCTATGACTGGTTTTCTGAAAAGGCTTCTACGAATCCATTGATCCTATGATCTGTAACTCTCTCTCCTGTTCCTTTCGGGCTCAGGGCTCCCCGAATTCCTCTGAAAGAGAGGATAAAGGTCTCCCAGAACTGGAAGCGAGGCCGGTGCCGCAGAGAAGTGCTGCTGAAGTGGAAATACAAGTAAGCGTTTCATCTCCATTCTCCTGACTCTTCAATCACAGTGCTGGGTAATGCAGGACTTTAGACCCAGTGTTAATATCCAACATTTCAGGTCAGCTACGGTACGAGTTAGAGACACAACACCGTACAAAGCTCCCTCTACACCCACTATATACAGCACTCAGATAAGCTATACAAGGGTTATGCACACACTGTACAAAGCTCTCTACACCACACTGTATACACAGCCCAGTTCAGTCAAAGCATTGGTTAGATACAAAGTAAAGCTACACAGCACTATACTGGGTTAGGTAGGTGGATTAACCTTAGGCGAGATTCAGTGTATAATACAGTGTGTTGGCTGAGAATGGGCAGAGCAGAGGGATTTTAATGTTTGTATGAGTTGTTTGTGAGTGTGACAGTGTGGCTGTTTGTCCACGTGCAGTTATGCTGTTGCCTAGAGTTGATTGAAATGGTTTTATTTCTCCTCAGCCTTTTGCCGTGGTTAGAGTTGAACGATTGCTCACTGTATCTCTCCCATGCGGCTGATATCCGTGCGTACCGGTTACCTACAGCTTCCGGCACCTTCCAGCGACGGCCTCTCTCTGTGTACTCCGGTCATCAGGATGACGTGTGCCGCTTTGTCCTCAATCAGTCACTTGTCATCAGTGGAGGAGGGTGAGTGTGTGTGTGTGTGTAGACTGCTCCTGGGTGTACACATACCAGGTGTAAGGGAATACTCTGCTCCTCTCTGATGCAATACGGCTTGTCTGTGTACAACACACACTGGGTAACGGAGCAAGTCAAGCACAAGGATTATCCTGAAGTTGTAGACTGTGGAATCTGTGTGCTTTCCCTGTCAGTAATGAGGGAACTCACTATTAGGTCACTTTCAGATGTTTTCTTAATAACTGGGACCTTGGTGTAGGTCACTTAATTCACGACTGTTTGTGCGCAATTGGTTGCTGCATTTTGCGCTAAAAGTATACAGTCAATTCACTTTACAGTATATTCTATGAAACACTTTGCGACATCTCGAAGATGTGATAAGGCACTTTATCAAATGCAAGATTTATTATTATTATAACAGGGCTGCACTTTATACAATGAACCAAAGTGTGCATTCCACTTCTCAGAGATGGAAAGATTATCGTCCATGACACGTGCAGCTCCTTCTACACTGAGCGACCAGCACATAACCAGGAGGTCAACTGTATTGACAGCCGAGAGCACATCATCATCAGCGGCTCAAGGGACAGGACGGCCAGGGTGAGTATGGTGAGGGTGAGGGTGTGAGGAGGAATCGGCTCCTAATCTGCTCCCTATCAGAGTGGCATTTACGGTATCTCACCGGGCAGGTATTTATAACCGCACAGGGAGAGATGATGAAGTCTTGGAATGCAAATCATGCACACATTGTTGTCCATTATGTGCCATGTGCAAATGGTGTGTAAAGGGGTATGTGTTGATGTGTAACGTTGCATAAATTGTGTATTGTGCACCTTGTGTTAATCAACTGTAAATCGGTGTGTATCCGCTGTATACCTGGGCCAGGTGTATTCTGAATTGTATATTGTGTGCTGTGTGTAAACCAGATGTGAGAGGTAAGGAGGTAAATGTGTCTGAGTAGAGTGTCTGAGGATAGACAGCTTGCAAAAGGTGATGGAAAATATTCAGTGAAATCCCCCCCTCCCTTCTCTCTCTTCCCTCCCTCCCGCCGTAAGAGCTGATAACATGAGAATGTGCTGCGTGCCTACTTGCTAGGGAATGGGGGATCGCGATGAAAGGATGTGTTTGACAGAAGAGAGGATTAAATTATGTGTAGAGGTCAGAGAGGGAGTACAGGGTGTGGAATAACCAACTCACGCTCATTAACCCTTTCATCAGCAAACAATTTGACTGTTCGACAGACGTACATCGGCTCCGTTGGCAAAAGTGCTGTTTAGTGTGAAATCACCCGCAGCAAAGGTTCCAGCGCTGGTCTCTGCCTGAGCTCAACAATCTCAGCCAAGGTGGTGGGAGTAGATACAGTGGATCTCCTGTGGAGTCCTGTAGCTCAGTGGTTAGAGCACTCGCTTCGCAAGCGAGAGACCTGAGTTCAATTCCAGACAGGGCGAAACCTTGGGCAAGTTTCCTTACCCCACACACCTAATAATAATCCCTCCAAAAAAAACAATAATAAATTGGTCATTTTCAATCTACGACTGTTTGTGGGACATTGCTGTGCGCAATTGGCTGCTGCGTTCGCCCACAAATATATACAGTCAATTCACTTTACAGTGTGTTCTGCGAAGCACTTTGGGACGTCCTTCTGACGTGAAAAGCGCTATATCAAATGCAAGGATTATTATATTATCTCAACATTGAGCTTTGAAGGAAAAAAATCGACCAGTGACCCTCCTCCGATCACTCTCCACTGATCCTGCTGACAAACGGGAGGATGGTTGAGGGCAGGATCAGAGTTGGTTGGGATGGCTATCAGCCTGTCCATTGCCACAAATCCTGATAGCGCTGGCTCACTCGCTCTCCAGTTTAGCGTGGACGTGGAGCCCAGCGTGAGTCTATGCCTTCAGGAGAGGAAAGGAGCAGAGAAAAAATATTTGACGGCCATAATACAACACAATACAATTTGCACTTCCATACTTCGTGAGGATGTCTTGAAACACATGAAATGCCAACTGGGAGGGCACCCAAGATGGGCTGGGGAAAGGGGGAAGATAACCGAAAGCACAGTCAAAGAGAAATTATGTTTTGTGACTGGCCTTGAAGGGGGGGGGAACAATAGGTTTAATAATAATCCTTGCATTTGATATAGCGCTTTATCACAGAATATACTGAAAATTGAATTAACTGTTTATTTTGTGGGCAAATTGTGCAGAGTAGTTCACACAAACAGTCGTGGTTTTTTTTCTAATGGATTATTACCTTCCGAAAAACAATCCGCCAATCGACTAACAACCAGGTTCCTACTTACTGCTAGGTAAACAGGCGTGTGTGTGTAATAAGCAAACTTGCCTAAGGTTTCACAAATTGAATCCAGGTCCTCTCCCTTGCGAGGCGAGTTCTCTAACCACTAAAAAGCTACATCAAGTGAAAAACAAAAAGCAAGTGAAACAGATGTTTAAAAAAGGAAAAATCTGAAAAGGTGTGAGGAGCGGTGGAGACTAAATGGGGGCTCTGAGAGCGCTGGCACATGTCCTGCACTGTAACATTTTATAATTCTAAATCACTTTTGAAAACAAAAAAAAACCTTTCCTCCATAACACTTTATCCTTAAAATCAGATTCTTCTGCAGAGTATGATTGTAACAGCAAGGGTGGGTGGATGGGTAGGGGTGTACATAAATATTTCCCGGTTTGCCATTTGAGACATTAATTTGGCTATTGGAATGAACCTGGTGGAATGTTAATTGTGTTGCAAAGCAGCCTGTGATAATGGAAGCCTGGCAGCCAGTGAACAGATAGCAGGACCTGTGCTAATGATCTTTTGGACACAGTGAAGGAAGATGGTTTGGGATGTCCATGTCTAGTGAAGCGTGAGAGACACCTTGAGGAGAGCTGCAATGATAGATTTGCGATTGTGCTTGTTCCAATCCACAACTCCTTTGTTAAACCTGTACACAATACTCATTCGGAGACCCAGCAAACTGCTCATTGCCAAAGCTTTGAGTTGGCCCTCCTGCCTCACTTACGGCATCAGTTTTAGATCAACATCAAAACATACATAGGGTGGTCTGATATGTGGAGGATTTTCTTACTTACACACAGCGTTCTGAAGGCAAGCGGTGCCTGACCAAAACACTGGTTTAAGTGAAATCCATAGTGGCTTTCAGAGAGCTTTTGGATAGTGTGTGTGTGTCTCTCTCTCTCTCTGTGCGCACCAGAATGTGAATGGGAGGATGAGGGGGGGAATAGAAGTGATTGGGACTAAATGAAGATGATTTTCAGAGCGCTGACACAGGCTTGATGGGCCGAATGGTTTCATTCTGTGCTGTAAATTCTATACCTTTCACTCTTACAGAGGAGGATGACTTAACAAAAGCTTGGTGGAGGAAGGGGTGGGGCAGGGGCCAGATATCTGGATATCCTTACTCTTTTCTCATTCCAGAGTTCTGTCCTCTGCTTCTCTTCACAGTGTCTGTGTTAGGGAGGTCTCCTCTGACAGCCTAGCATGTACACTACTGGAGCATCTGAGAGGATTGTTAGCAGATTGTTTAACTGACATGTTGGATCTGACTTTGGGATTAACCAAACAATTTGTGACTAAGGAAAGTTCTGGGAGCAATGTAACGCTTCCCTTTGTCCCTCAGGTTTGGCCACTCTTTTCCAACGGCGTGGGCGACTGTCTGCACACAATAAACACCCAAGATCGCGTCTGGTCCATCGCCATTAATCCTGACCTGAGGTAACGTGGGAGTGTGCAGTGGCCTGGCCAGATAATGTCACTCACTCGCTCACTCACTCGCTGACACTCACTCGCTCGCCGACACTCGCTCTCTGACGCTCGCTCGCCAACGCTCGCTCGCCAACGCTCGCTCGCCGACACTCACTTGCTGACACTCCCTCAATCCCTGACCCGCTCGTTCCCCGACCCTCTCGCTGGCTCGCTCCCCGGCCTCCGCCCGCCGCCTCCCTGCCCTCCGCCCGCCCCCTTCCTGGCCTCCGCCCGCCCCCTCCCCGTCACTGTCACTCACTCACTGTCAATCACACTCACTGTCAATCACATGTGGGGAGTGAGGGTTGGACACAGAGTCTGTTTTTATGAAAGCTCCTCAGTTGCCCCAGGCCCTTGGCCTCCCTCAGCCACACTTTCCATTCCACAGTTTCTCTGTCAAAACATTTAAACAGTGCTTTCATACAACAACATCATCTTGAATTTTTATAGCGCCTTCCATGGCGGACGGTGGCTCAGAGCGCTTCACAGTAATGGATCCCGGGGCCGAGCCAGGGGGAGGGGGAGGAAGGGGACCAAAGGCACGGTCGAAAAGAAAGGTCTTCAGCAGAGACCTGAAAATAGGAAGAGAGGGGATGAGGCGAAGGGAATGAGGAAGGGAGTTCCAGAGCCTCGGGGCATAGTGGCTGAAGGCACAGCCGCCGAGGGTGGAACGAAGGACTTGGGGGACAAGGAGGAGGCCACACCCGGTGGAACCACTTGTTCCTTGTGAAAGAACCTGGGTTCGATTCCCAGGCAAGACAAAAGCTTAGGCAAGTTTTCTTATTCCACATGCCTCTGTTTACCAACTGTAAGTAGGAACTTGGTTGTTAGTTGATTAGCGGATCGCTTTCCAGGAGTAATAATCGCTTCAAACAAAATAAATAATAATGTGGTCACTCAATCCACGATCGTTTGTGGGGACATCGCTGTATGCAATTGGCTGCCGCGTCTCGCCCACAAAAAAGTGACAAGTCACATTATAGTGTATTCTATGAATTGCTTTGAGACGTCTCAACGACATGAGAAGGCGCTCATCAAATGCAAGGATTATTACAACAAAAACAACTTACATTTATATAGCCAAATTACCCTCATGCAGGATAGCGTCCCAGAGCGTTTAATTATTATTATTATTATTGTGCTGTGAACGAATGGGGTTTTTGAAGGGAGCTGGCGAGTTTGAAGCAGTCACCCATTTAATTAGACACGGCGCCACTTTTTCCTCCTTCTGAATCTCTCCCCTCCCCGTCCGTCTTTCCTCCTTGCCACGCAAACCCAGTATCAGAAGCGATTAAACAGGTCATTAATTCTTCAATAATGATTGTTGATATATTAGAGGCCGGCAAAGCAGATCTGTCAGATAATGGACAGCTTTCCACTCCAGCACCATGGCACAGCGGGTTAATTGAAGTTCTCCCTGGATAATGGTGTCAAGGTGTAGGTTAAAGTTTTTTCCCCAAAACGCTAACGTTAATTCATGTGTGATCTAAGTGAACAACCTGGTCTTAAAACAGAGTCCGGATCGCAGCCCTGGGAGGAAATGATCTGGATTTAATGGGGGCTAACGCTGATTGGTTTCATTTATAAAATGAGTTTCATTTGAACTTAAAGTATAAAGAAAATCATCAACCAATGTACAGTGACACAGGGCGATGATGGCCGGCAGGCGTGAATGAGTCTGACCGTGTGAGGGAGCTGGGGTAACACCAGGAGAGACAGTCAGTGACACAGGGCGCTGCTGAGGGAGAGATCAAGCCTGACAGTGTGAGGGAGCTGGAGGAAGGGCATTAGAGGTGCAGTGGTTACTGTAGTGGATGCTTCATTCCAAACTTGGTGCAGCTGGCAGCACTCTCTCCTGGGCTCAGAGGGTTGCATACAGTATTGTGAGCACTGCTGTCCCTCTCCCTACCTATGGCTGTATGACTCACTGACACTGGCTGTTGAGCCTCACACATGAAGAGCTGATGAATAAACTGAGTGGCCACCAGTGGGGTCCCGGGGGCCATTGAGAAACAGTGCCCTAGTACGCGAGCAAAGCAGTTCAGTTCCCATCGCCGAGCAGACAAAGTAGTGGAACTTTAGGGATATAATAAAATAGCTGGAGTTGAGAGTAATGCAACAGGGTAACTTGGAGTAACAGCAGCTTGCATTTCTACGGTGCCCTTCACCAGGCTAGGGTCTCGGGGTACTGAAATAGGTAACGGTGGCACAGACAGGGTGGGCTGAACAGCCTGCACTGCTGGCGTCTGGTTCTGTGTGTGCAACTCCCATGGGGGCTGAGTGAGAAGGTTGCTCTCTCTACACCGCGTGCTGGACGCTGAGCTGAACTGTGCTGCCTGGACCTCAGAGCCCTGACCTGCAGCTCCCGTTGTATTACAGGTTTTTGTGAGTAGAGTTAGAGAGTGAACTGAACATACCTCAGGCATGTCTTCAAATTCAACACAATGTTTCATTCCCCCCCACCCCACACACACACTCCGCACGCACACTAAACAGTCAGGGATCAGGACCCGAGAGTGTGGGGGTTGGGACGAGGGAGGGCTGAAGGCACAGTTAAAAAGGAGGGTCTTGAGTCGTGCCTTGAAGGAGGCAAGAGAGGGAGTGAGGCGAAGGGATTGTGGGATGGAATTCCAAAGAGTGGGGGCAGAGAGGCTGAAAGCCCAGCCGCTGATGGTAGGGTGGGTTGAGCGGGAGACATGGAGCATGCCAGAGCCTGCTGAGCTTGATCGCATTGATCCCAGCAGTGAGTTACAGACTCGATTCTAATGGTGGGGTTCGGGTGATTCATACATAGAATAAGAGATCCTGGGAGTGCAGTACAGGTTGGTCTCATTGAGAGGCTTAATGTAGAATTACAAAATAATAATCCTGCATTTGGTATAGCGCCTTATCACATCTTTGCGACGTCTCAAAGCGCTTCACAGAATATACTGTAAAGTGAATTGACTATATTTTGTGGGTGAAAGCCTGTAGCTGATTGCGCACAGCAGCGTCCCACAAACAGTCGGGGATTGAAGTGACCAAAATTATTATTTATTTTTTGAAGGGATTGTTCACCACCCCCTCCCAGAAAACGATCTGCTAATTGACTAACAACTGCTTTTTAATTACTAATTACTGCTAGGTAAAGCGAGGGGTTTTGAGTAAGGAAACCTGCCCAAAGTTTTACAGTGCCCCTGAATCGAACCCAAGTCTTTTCACTTTTGAGACGAGTGCTCTAACCACTACACTCAGGACTCTACAGGAATGATTGAGTTAAGATTCCTATTCAAGTTATCAATAATCAATCGTCAGGAAAACCAATATCTTTGTTTAGAAGCAGTCGCTTCTGAGTTGATCAGTGAATATTTTTTAAATTATTAAAAAAAGTTTTCATAATCTATTAAAATCATGTGGTGCTTTCTCCTTTAAGAGTCAGCTGAGAAATAAAAGGGAAAGTTCAAAGATAACTTACCAGTGGTAGACACTGCGTGTCATGGGGGCAGCCTTTCAGCTGAGACAATGGGTCGGTGAAGGGTTAAGAGGGAAATTAGAAGGTTTGAAGGTTTTGCTCGGGAAGGGGCAGAGGTTAAAAAATGTCCCTTTGTTCCCGGCCTAATTCAGAGGAACATGTTCTACAAACAAGTGGTACAGACCCACGGCTTTTGTTACTAATAATAATCCTTGCATTTGATACAGCGCCCTGTAATGTCACAACGTCTCACAGCGCTTCACAGCCAATTGCTGTCAGGTGTAGTGACTATGTTTTTGTCGGCAGCCAATTTTTGCACAGCGAGATGCCACAAACAGCAATGAAGTGAATGGTCATTTATCTGGGGGATTGTTGGCCAGCACATTGGGAGAGAGAAACTCCCTTCTCTTTTCTATGTTAACTTTCTCCACACACCTCTGTTTACCTAGCAATAAGTAGGAACTCAGTTGTTAGTTGATTGGTCGATCACTTTCTAGGTGGAATAATTCCCCCCATCACTAAATAAGTCAATAAAATTGGTTGTTCACTTCATGGATGTGTGTGGGACGCTGCTGTGCGCAACTGGCTGTAGCGTTTCATCCACAAGTATATCCTGTGAAGCTCTTTGAGACGTATCAACGATGTGATAAGGTGCGATATCAAATGCAAGGATTATTGTTATATTAAACTTCAACCGAGACAGAGGTCTGCCACCTGATATCTCTCCACACACCCACTACGCCATTGACTCCCATCCTTGCCAGGCTGCTTTGGCTCACAGTCCCTGATAGAGTGTTGGGTTTAAGATTTTGGTCTTCAAATCCATCCACAACCTCCCCACCCTACCTGTGCAGTACACTACAATACAATTTACATTTATGCAGCACCATTCACATTGGGAGTACATCCCATGGCATTTAAATTTTCTCCAGCGCTACATTCCAGCCCGTCCCTCCGCGCTCTTGACTGATATATTGCTCACTCCTCACTCCCTCTGCTCCACTATCAGTGGTTGAGTCTTCATCCACCATGACCCTGTCCTCTGGAACTCTCTCCTAAAACTTGGCTACAGTGTTGCCCACAAAGCGCAGTCACCACGTTTTACAGTATATACTGTGAAGCACTTTGGGACGGCCTCCCAACGTGAAAGCCGTTGTATGAAAAGTAGGAGTTAGTATTATAAAACCTCTACTTTTCCCTGCCTTCAACACCTCCTAAAACGATATGTTCTAAATCTTTCATTTCTTACTCTATCCACACTGCAATGGGAATTTCCCCCGGCGTCCTAGCCAACAACTCCCCAAAATTTATAAAGTTGTCACTTTTTTGTGGCTGTTTGTGGAATGTTGCTATCTGCAAATTGGCTAAAAAGTCAGTACACTTTACACTGTGGAGTCCTGTAGCACTCACCTCGCAAGCGATAGGACGTGGGTTTGATTCCCGGTCGGGGCAAGAGCTTAGGCAAGTTACTCCACGCGTCTCTGTTTACCTAGTAGTAAGTAAGAACCTGGTTGTTAGT